CAATGGAGCTGAAACAAGGACCATCGTTACCGGCACTGGTCACAAAGATACAGCCGGACTTGGCAATGGCCTCTTGTGCCAAAAGTTGGATGAAATGACCATCGGTCGGCAAGCTTGCGGCTTCACCGTAAGACATGTTGGCGAGATCGACCTTGTTGATGGCCATGTGAGCAGCTGCACGCGTCAAACCAGGGCCGGTCTCCATGGATCCCAATCGGGCATCGCCAATGCGGAGCGAGACGATCTGTGCGCCTGGTGCAACCTAAAATATACCACCAAATGTCAGATACACTGATGGTCACGTGATTAATACAATGCATACGCCGTTCAGCGCCGGGTCGTCGGGGAAGTTGGCAGCCGTAATGCCGGCTACGTGCGTACCGTGGCTTCCTGAGAGCGTAACAATGCTGTTTTACAGGCGGATAAATAATTGTATCAAAATATACGATATTCCCATCACTTACCTCAACAGATCGCCATTGTCGTAAATATTGACGGAGAAATTGAGTAGGTCGGCCTTGCCAAAGGTATGATACTTTAGCTCCTTGCGATAATCCGTGAGGCAGGGCTGACCTGAAACGTGCAATATACGTCATCAGCGATGATGAACAACGAAAGCTCCCGATATACATACCTCTCAGATCGCCGGATTCTTCCACGTCAATCACAGCACGCCAATCTTTGCCATCATGAAAGACAACGCAATCTAAAATCACACCAGGGTCTTCATAACTACTCCACAGGCTCTTCAGAGCCTCGACGCGGTCCTCGAGATCGGATCGTTCGGCTGCCAGCTTCTCATCATTCACTTTAGGGTTCTCCTTATCAAAGGCAGCCAGTTTAGTTTGAGCATCACTCAAGAGACGGGACTGGTTATCATCAAAGGTCTTGCGACGGAGCTACGATGCGAGGTGATGGGACGGTCAATTGATATATACGCGCACTATAGTTATTATATGTAGGCTTTACCTTTTTTAGCTTGGAAACTAGTTCAGTGGGGAACAGCTCGTAAGCCCGCTTGATACCGACGCGGTATTCACCGGATGGACAGCTCCATGATGGATCAATGATCAGGTCACGACCGCTTAAACCGGTAATCACTTTGACACCCTCCTTATCTACCGGCTGGACGATCTTGGTGGTTGTAACATCACCTATAGAAGCGTATTTAGGAGGGTGGCACGAGAATTACTATACACAGTCATATATACCTCCACCAGTGCAGTCGACAATGTCAATGACCTTTGGCTTGCCGTCGGTAGTGACCTATATTCAAATACGCGGTTGAGTTATCGGACAAAAAAGTCAGAGCATATATATAAAGGTAGTACCTGCATTCCTGCAGCTCCAGGATCGACACCTTGAATAAAGACGCGACATGAGCCACGATGACGTTAAAGGAAAGCGCAATGAAGGTATATACCTGTGTCGAGAATGGCAATGACAGTACCGCGACCGTCATAGGAAGGGTACTTTTTAATAAAGGCAGCAGCCTGTGTGTCCTGCTTAGGCATGAGACCCTGAACAGGATACTCTTGAATGGGCTTTGCCAAAGCACTCATGGCTACGTTTGATACGAGAAAAAGAAGAAGACGAAAAAAAGGGGAAAATGGTGGGAAAACGGACGCGCGTTTTTGACGCATTCATTTATACAGTGTCGTTCAAGTTCCACCTCCCCCCCCCAACCACCACATACAGGTTCCGCTTACTTCCATTCCACCCCGCGTTTCGGCCCGTAACAGACAGCCCAAACAATCGAAAATTACCATTTCTGTCCCCTTATTTTACTTTATTCTACTTGCAATTCTCTTTCTTTACTCCTCAGCTGCCGCCTTTTCTTCTTCGCTTGGCTGTGTGTGTTTCGTCGTAATCACCGCCTCGTCGGGAATCACGCCTTCCGCATTGAAATATTTGAAATCAGGTCCAAAATGGGCATCCACCGACGTCAGAAACAAATCAAACCTAGTACGAGTAAACAAACAATAGCCCTATTATGAGCCATGTACCACAATTAACAAGTTGCAAAAAACACAAACCATCTTTCCGTTTTCTCGCTCTCAAAAATTTTTGTGTAGATCCATTTCTCTCTAAACGCCTCAATCGTATCCTAAAATTTCTTTTGTTATTTGACAGTAACAGGAGCAAGTCATTGTCCTACCTTGTACTTGTCAAAGTCGATCGGGTCGCGATCCGGTCCGCTGCCGCCTTTGCCGCTTTTGATGTTTTTGTTGTACGACCCAAAAACTGGATGGTCTAATAGAAGACCCACTGCAGGTGCCTTGGGAATATTGATACGCTTCTCCTCGAACGAACGCTCAATCAAGCTCAGAGGACACCTGAGGCGGGTCGTGAGTAACGCCATGGCTGGACAGGCTGATCAGTATGGTTGGTTCTATAAACATATATGAGTACGACTTACAAATCATTTTGCGAATTTGATGCAGCATGAAGGATTGGCCATGAAGCTTGACGCTCAACCATTCAGTACCACCGATATAGATCGGATCTTCGACCTGGTAGCCAAATGTCATGAGTCACACTTTGTCTGGTTATATATATATATATATATATATATATATATACCTTGATACTCTTTAAAAAGCGGTAGCAGCTCTTGTCCCTGAATCCGCGCCCAATGGTGTAGTTGTGAAAGTTGTGTGTGCCGACATACATCCCCATGGCTTCTCTGAATTTTTCCAGCGTGTCTTTGTCGATGCGGTAGTTATCCTTTTCCTTGAGTTCCTCATCTGTGCTTCGAGGGGCATACCGAATTTCATCACCGCACTGCAGCTTCACATCGGTAGGGTTCTGAGCTTCTTTCGTAGCTTCCTTGTTTGTGGGCGGCATGAATGCGGCGCTCGGTAATAAATATTCGTAGACACGCGAATCGCACGCTGTTCGACAGTTGAATGAGCGCTGGACAACCACATAACCTATCGTCAAATCGTTAATGACATGTTTCCGTGCGATTTCCTCCTATTTTTACCCCACACGCGGATCTGCTCCGGCAAAATCGAATTGATATCGTCAATGAGGGTCTCTTCGTTAGGAATGTTGATCTTGAGCGATAAAATATTTCCTGCAGCATGGACGCCTTTATCCGTTCTTGCAGCCCGCATCCACGACACCTGGTCATATTTTGATCTTCATTAATCTCCAATGCGCCATCATTATTTTTTTCGGAAAAAAGTGCGTACCTTCTGCGGGTCGTCCGCGTTCATCTTAGGAATAGCGTTCGCTTTGCATAGCGCCTCAAAAACGACCTTTTCAATCGTTTCTGCAGCAGGGTTCCTATACGGCAATGGTTTATATTAGACCCTTTTCGCTTGTTATCATGAAGGCTTTTCGTATACATACAGTTGCAAGCCTTGATAATTGGCACCGTTGTAACCAAACAAGAGAGCCACCTTCTTCTTGGGCAGACGCGCCTCACCAGGCACAGCTGTCGACACGCGATCACTGTCATCAGCACCCCAGGACTGATTCTTCTTTTGATGTTCGCGTCGTTCTTTGGCAGACTTTGCACGCTTATTTTCTTTGGGCTCCTTCTTCTTCCCTGTCGGTTGATCGCGCTTCACTCCCGCTTCGACTTTGACATCCTTCTGTTCCGAAGACTCGCTGGATTCCATCGTCGCAGGTGCATTTTCCTCTTCTGTAGGTAGCTTGTGCTTCTCCGTAATGTCCAACTGCGGTGATCCTTCGGCACTCATTTTTATGCGTCAAACGGCAAAAGAAGGGCAAAAATAAGCGGGAAGAAAAAGCCACTTATGCCGTATATTGTGTGCTCCCAACATTGCGAAATTGTTTTCGATAAAGGTAGTGCCCATTACCTAACCAATACAAGTGTCATTATATAGAAATAAGAATACGCATCTCCAAGTATCTCGTTCGCTTCATCTTTCACAGTGAGAACATGTGCATTAATGCGGAGTCGTTTATGCTTCAGGCGTAAGGCTGCCTAGAATGTCGTCAAAGCTGGTGCCTGCGAGCAACAGCCCTACTTTCGCGACTCGGCTTTGACAGCATACGCAACTATTGCGTAGTTGGTCTTCTTGAGGACATTACACGTGCAAGCCGACGGTAGCAGAGCTTGCACACGCAGCGTGTTTGGAAGGAATATTGATCATAATCGCTTACAACTCGTACTTGTCCGAGTCCCTTGCTCTGGGGTGTTCTGCACCATTCTAACTAGATGCTTGCACCGATAATGGAAGTTGGACCTGTTCTCACTAGGTCTTTATTCGCTCGGCTATTCGGCTGAATGTCGAAGTTCGAAAACGACCAGCATCTTACTTGACAATGTGTAATCTCGATTCCGGACGAAAACGTAAAAGCGGTTCTGACGCGACAAGAACATAGCTTTTCTTTTTATGTCAATGACTGGCGCAAGTTGCAGCTGCACATTAGTAGCGTTACAAACCGCAATTCGTTTGACATTTCCAAGCAAGAGTCGACAATTGCCTCAGTAGATAATGAGTAAATGACGAAGGCTTTTTGGATAAGCAGCTCTATCGTCCATGCTCGTTTCGCGTCGTTTTGCGCCTTTATATAATGTGAAAAAACACGGTTTTGTCTTTGCAAAGTTTGGACGACTTCAACTGTAGTTTAATGGACCAGGTTTGCCCTGAGTTAATCATACATTAGAGAAGTAAATGTGCTCAATGTTCGGTGTCTTTTTGACTTCACTTCTTTCAAACAGAATATGCTTTCGCACTCCGTCGACTTCGACTCCCGACCCCATAAGACGCACCGAAATTTTTTTCATTCCAGAAATCATTGAATCAAAAAATAATAATATAACGACGACTTGGCCCGGGTTCTGTAAGATCTCCCATCGCGCTCAATGGTAAATATTAGTATCATTGAATAATGCTTCGAAAGGCGGAAGAGTCAAATAGGAATATTTTAAATATCAAGAGACATGATACACGGCAACAAGTTTTACCGACTATGTATTATCCTTTATGAATGAGCTAAATCCCTTTACTATAACAGGAAAAGGGGAGGTAGTGTAGTGGTTATCACGTTTGCTTTGCATGCAAAAGGCCCCGGGTTCAAATCCCGGTCTCTCCATTTTTTCGTTTCTCTGTCGTCGGCCGGATGGTCTTGGCCAAGAATATCTTTTTCTTCCAAGCAGCAACTTATCCTAAGGGCAAGTGTTCTTCTGAAAGATATGTTTTTGACAATAAAATTCATGTTGGAGTTCTTTTTTTCCCTGAAAACTCGCGTGTACGGAGCCGTTGTATCCTCGTCCATGAGCATAATAATGCTTATTACGAGCATGCGGTCTGCCGTTATCTACAAGCTCCCGCTCAACCATGGAAGCAGTTGTCCGATACCATATGTCCATTTGCAAGTGTCCGTGTACAGTATAGAACAACTCAATATCGTTTGCATAATTACTAAGTAGCTAGTTGCTCTTTCTCAAGGATATTACATTTTCCTTACAGTCCATCGTCGTAGCATCTATAATGGAGGCTATTAGGGTGCATTGAAAATAAGTAGAAAGGAACGGAGACATGATAGAATAATGTTACGAAGTCATTTCATACTGCAGAAGTTTTATTGCCAAGCGATATTAATATGCTTATATAATAACTATAAGAATAAAAACAATCGTCTATCTACTATGGTTGTCATAACTCATTGAAACTTGTTCCTTCTTGTAGCTTATTACTTATTATGGCCTTAAGTGAAGATAAGTTTGGACAAGGATGAGTTCTGACCGAGCTTTAACAAGTTCCGACAAGCCTCGTTTTCCCACAGTGATCCTCATAGTACTGGTGTTTCTTAAAAATCCTTTCTTCGTCTATCACCCAGGGGCGGACGGCAGATGGCAGGGCCAGGATCATCGTGCCGTTAAAATGGGATAAGGGAGCATGTAGACTTATATCATTATTAGTTGTACTCAAAGTACTATGACGCAACTTCTATAGATCCTGTGCGTCCTGACGATCTGACGTAGCCTGATAATATAATAGCGCTTATATGTAGAGAATAGGGTGATTAGACGAAATTTAAAGTTATTGCAAAATCTAACTACTGAAGTCTGACGCAGAGGCATAATGCATATGTTATTACTGCAACGAGCGCCAATATAATCCATACGAGATGGATGCGTATCGAGAAAGGGATAGAGATTGCCCCTATAGTACTAGATATAGGCATCAATATATAATAAGCATTATCTCTCTTCTTCTACTTACGTCGACCAAATAACGCCGGTAGTTGCTGGAGCCAGAGCTCGCATAGCAGCAGAACAGCCTGAAGGTACATTAAAAATCTATATTGAAATGCAGCAGTTATATGAAACACTTACACTGGGCGATGGCGTTCACTGTACCGAGTGCGCCTGAATGGGCGGTGATATCATTGAGGAGAACGATTGACATGGTGAATCCCACCGCTTGGCAAAAGGATTTCATGCTAATGCCCGCAAGGAATCCCACATACATCAAAGTATCAGGTAGGTAGCGGGCGCAGCCCTGAAAGGCAAATACGAATACGCTCATCAACAGCGAGAAGCGGAATAAGCCAATGACAGAGAACAAGCGTGTAAGGTAGTGCAATGTCATCTGCACCGCCAGAATAGCAGCGCCCCCAAATGACAGGGCAATGCCAATTTGCCCCGTAGTGAGACCAAGCCCACCTTTCTCAAATTCCGTGGCGGACCACAACGGAAGCAGCTCTAAATAGTGTAAAGCCGAGAAGTTACATACATAAAATCCCCGGCATACTATTAAAGCTTACCGTCATAGAAAAGGTCCTGGTAGGCGGCAGCACCGTAAATAGCACATAAAAGGACAATTGTAGGCGTCAACACACCGATGATACTTTTCAGGAAGTTCTTGGATGGTGCCGCCTCTTGCGTTTGGGTATACGTATGCGGCCGTGTGTTGGACAATAGTCCCTCCTCCTCTTCGTTCATGAGCAAGATAGGGGCATTCATAGCAAGGGTCTCCTCAAGTAAAAAGTATCCTGCTATCCATCCTAGCGAAGCAACAAAACCTGCGACAAAGCAGGGCAGTGAATAAGGGTATAAAGCGAAGAAGTCGGTAAGCCAGCCACCGCGTCCAAACACGGAGGGATACTTGTCGACAGGCTGACAGAGGTAACCTAATCATTATAAGTCATTTGTAGACTAATGCCTCCAAAGGAAGTACAGTTCTACTTACCTCCGAGCATTGAGCCTATAATTGTGCCAGCTGCAAAAGTCACCTGGAGCAGAGAAAACGCCTGAGTGCGCTGTGCCTCTGTATTCCGTGAAGTGAGCTCGGTAATCATGCTTTTGAGCACCGCAATATTGCCATCAAGGAGACCGGTAAGAATCTTTACTACCAAAGCCCATGTATAATTTTTGGAGACACCAAATAGTACCATGCCAATGATGGTAGCTGCCAACCCAAGCAGAACAACAGGTCGCCGGCCGATGCGATCGGATAACATGCCCATGGGCATAGCTGAAGAATTATAAGCTTACTTTTGCTGACTGAAAACAGCCCAGAGATGGGAAAAGATGTATACCAGAGATAAGCTGAGCCGTTGAAAAGGCTGCAGTCAAGAAGCCGACATACGTTCCTATTTCCGCTTCTGAACCCAGGAGGAAGTCTCGGACCATCTAAACATTGTTCAATTTTACGATAAAATAGACCTCTCTCCTCATACGAAGTAGATGAAGGGAGTTTTCACAGCAAAACTGATCGGTTCCTTGTTGAATGAACGCGTAATGAGCGACTTTGAGATCGAGGCTAGCAATGCGCAAGTTATACTCTACCGCAATGCGGACAGCGCACACCAGAAACAGCTGACGGGTCGGAAATGGAGGAGGATCCGTCTCCATGAACCGAGAAAAAGCAAAGGACAGTGTCTTCGGGGTTTCCAAGATGATGATGGGCAGGACTTGAGAATTTTGCGGATATGGCATGCCCTTATCATGCGTATCCATATTCACATTGTAGACATGGATAAATTATTATGCACTGAATATAGAGAATGAATACGACAGTGGTTCGAAGATGTCACGATAGCATTGCTGAGTCGCGCTATTGGCAGTAAAGAAGAAGCGGCACCCGTCGATAAACATGAATATATACTTTTTTGATTATTCCACATAGCGGTGATAGCACAGTTACACGCGTATTAAAACGGTTGGACAAAAACGGCCGTAATTTCAGCGTAGGAGAATCGCCAGTTGTGCGTATTTCCTTTCCTTTTAACATGCACGCGATAGTACTATCTATCGTAAAATAATACCAGAAGGACTTTATAGCGGAACCATTCGTGTAAAAGGTATTAACACTAATAAATGGTCGTAGTGTACATTACAATCTAGCCTGAGTAGACTTGGTGGGAGATTAACATCCCTACTGTTGACATCTTGCTGCGCCTCGTCGTGGGATGCCCGCTAGCAAAACGTGCGTTTCAGACCACAAACGTATGCATTTATTGACTACTGTTTTTTGTTTATGTGATGATATGACACATAGTCCTTAATATAGTCCAGAAGACGGAGAGTACTTCTTTTTCACGCTTCTTTCAACGGTTGATCATGTTGTCAACTACAAATGTAGAAAAGAAAGGCGATCTCTCATCGGTCTTTGTCCATTTAGGCGCATTACCTCCTACTTTGGAATCGCGGTTTGTCGACCTAAAGAAATCCATTGCCCCTAAGGACCCAGCTGTTCTGGAAGATGCCTACCGTCGAGTCTTGGCTCAACTGGAGAATGAGACACAGGAAATTAAGCATCTAGGTCCAGCTTGCATACCCCAAATTGAATTCGCAGATATTCAAAAGAATAATGGATGCATTCCCCCTGATCGCATCGCAGAAATCAAGAAGCGAGGCGTGGTTGTCATTCGAGGTCTCATATCGCCAGAAGAGGCAGCCGCTTACAAAGACCAGTTGTATCGCTGCATTGAGCGACATCGAGATACATTGGTTGGTTTTCCAGAGAATGACCCTCAAGCTTGGGAGCTATACTACACGCGTGCCCAGGTCAGCGCGCGTAGCCACCCAAATTGGACCATGGCATCTGTTGCAATGAACCAGCTCTGGCACTCCACACCTGAAGCAAAAGTGGATCTGACGCGGACAGTGGCGTACTGCGACCGTTTGCGGGTGCGTAAGCCCGGTGATACGTCTTTCGCTTTATCGGCTCATGTTGATGGCGGCTCTGTTGAACGTAACTATAGCGCGTGTTACATCCATGCAACGAAAATCTTACATAAAATTGTCTTTATTACAGGATGGGAAGATCCCGAGTACCGTCAGTGCTACCGTCAAATATTTGCTGGGAAATGGGAGCAGCATGATCCTTACGACGTAACACACCGCATCGAGGCCAACATGGACATGTACGACTCGCCTGGAGGCTGTTCCGCGTTCCGTATTTTCCAAGGTTGGCTATCTCTCTCTCATGTGGAACCAAATGGTGGAACACTACGCGTGTGTCCTCTCACGCAGGAACCGATGGCGTATATTCTTATGAAGCCGCTACTAAAAGAGAACTTGGACAAAAGGTAAACAAAAACACATTTATTATCACCTGAGCAAACATTGTATGTGTCAACAGTGATCTTTTGGGGTCGTGGCCAGGAAGATGCAGTGACATCACAAAAGAGAATCACCCGCACATCATCGACGCCATGGTATCCATACCTACAGTGGCACCAGGCGACGCCGTCTTCTGGCACTGTGATCAGGTGCATGCGGTTGAGCCCAAAAACGAGTCGGATCGCGACTCAACGGTACTTTACATCCCGTCCGTACCAGTATGTGAGCGTAACTCGAGATACCTCCAACGACAGCGAGCCTGTTTTGAGAAAGGGCTGTAAGTACCGTCTATATTCAAACAGGGACGGAAGAACAATTAATCGATGTCCGGCTATTTTTTAATAATGAAGGACACCACCTGACTTCCCTGCCAATCATTGCGAGCAATACTTTGACGAAACGGATCGAGCCACTGTTTCCACACTGACGGATAACGAGCGACGCAGCTTGGGATTGGCGCCACTTGAAATATCGGATGCGTCACTGCTTACGCCCGGCCAGAGCCATGCCATCGAGACCC